TAACCAGCCATTGGCTGGTCTTTTAGGTTATAGAATGAATGAACTGGAAGGGACCTTGGGAGGTCTTCTAGTCCAGCCCCCTGCTCAAGCAGGACACAGTTTACCATTTCAGACAAATGTAGCCCAGTCTCTTTTTAAAAGCCTCCCCAGGGATGGAACGCCCACAATTTCTGAAGGCAAGCTGTTCCACTGGTTGACTGATTGTTTCATGACCCAACTAGGGAACATTATCAATGCTAGAAGGGAATGGAAAGTGCAGAGAGGAGGAGGAGAAGGACTGTGTGGTCCCTGGTGCCCACTGAGCTTGGTGATTTTTTGGCAGATGTTTCATGGCCAAACTAGGGAACATCATCAATGCTAGAAGAGAATGGGATGTGCAGAGAGGAGGAAGAGGAAGAGGAGGAGGAAGAGGAAAAGGAGGAGGACTGTGTGGTCCTTTGTGCTTTCTGAGCTTGGTGGTTTTCTTGCAGACATTTCATAACCCAACTAGGGAACATTATCAATGCTATTCATCAGCACTGATGATGTTATCTAGTTTGGTAATGAAATATCTACCAGAAAAGAGTATTTATTTCTAAACACTTTCTACAGCTAAGAGATACAGCCAGCTATAGGATAATAGGCCTTTCAGAAAAACTCTGGAAAAAAGTCAAACAATAACAACATTTTCTTGACAACCCAAAAGACAATAAAGAGAATACTTGGGTAGAATTGAAGTTGTTGTTACTGAGAAAGTAAATGGAGAAAACTGGTTACTCAATATTAAATTCTTAGGGATAGCAGCTTCACCTCTATGTTGATCCTTTAGGTCAGGGGTCGTGTCAAACTTTTCCCCCCTTCACTAAACCGGGCGTGGTCAGTGCATGATGCATCCAGCCCATGGCCCGTGAGTTTCACAGCTTTGCTTTAAATCCTTTTTATTTTAAGCAAACCTCTTTTATTACTGATATGATTCATCCTTATGGGTAGCCTTATGCTCATTCTGCAGTTGTACGATGAGGGATAAATATTTTAATAACAACAACAAAATAAGGAAAAAAACAAAACAACAGTTATTACAAAGCTTTGTAACAACCTTAAAGGCTAGCTGGATTTTTATCAACACCACATTCTGGTTGGAACAAAACCTTGGAATATCAGTTCCCCTTTTCCATCTGTTAGTCCCTAGGGTTTTAGCCTGTTGCATAGGTACTCTGTTGCTGCTCTTCGCTTGCCTTATGATAAACAAAAGACATATGCTAATATATTTATCCATGATGGTTGGTTCGTCTTGGACAATCTGGTGTGGGCAAGCACATGAAACAGCACATGGCGTCCAGCATCAATAGGAAAGTTTAAAAAAGAAAAAGCAATTACATTCCCAAGCCAAAACACTGGTCTCTTCTTATCTTGACTCATTAATTTTCATTCCCCACTCAAAAATAAAAAAATAGAACCGATTGGTCTGAAAGAGTGTTGTTAATTTCCCACCTTCCCAAAAAATGATTTCCAAAGGTTTTGTTTTTTTTGGAAAGCGGTAATTAACAGATGCTATGGACGGTTGAAAGTAAAATTAAACATGGCAATATTGCACAAAATAAAACCTTTCAAAGAAAAACACACCCGGTGCAAAGGAAGTTGGTGCAAGCCAAATATTTTGAATGGAATGAAGACAATTTCCCAAAATTAGCATATTGTATGGGGTTCCCCCCTCCCCCTTTAATCTAATAAGATAAATTATGTCCAAATTCAATCTGGGCTTTAATTAAAAAAATATTTTGTGTTTCCACTAACATATTCTTATCTTTTTGATCATAAAAGAAGCTAACTAGGGGGTTATCTATGGAGATTCTCAGTCATCTAGGTCAGGGGTCTCCAACCTTGGCAATTTTAAGACTTGTGGACTACAACTCCCAGAAGCTATGCTGGCTGAGGAATTCTGGGAGTTGAAGTCCACAAAGTTGCCAAGGTTGGAGACCCCTGATCTTGGTCATGCTAGTCCCAAAGTTGCTTTTTCAAAAGGCAACTGGAGTTTGTTTTTCCTTGAAGAGGTTTCACTTCTCATCCAAGAAGCTTCTTCATTTCTGACTGAACTGAAGAAGCTTCTTGGATGAGAAGTGAAACCTCTTTAAGAAAAAAAAACAAATTCTAGTTGCCTTTTCAAAAAGCACCTTTGGTACTAACTAGGGGGGGAAATCAGTCACAATCCTCCTCTCTAAAAACCAGTCAACCCCATATCTGTTTCACACAATTAACATTTCCCCCCACAAACACTCTCTAGTAGTTCAAGTTTCCATCCAAAATCAATGTACTTTGTTTCTTCGTTCCACCCCTCCCCTTTTCACTTTGTGCACTCTGGTTGCAGAGAAAGAGGATTTCCAATTATTTAGGCAATTATGATTTATGATTTATCACTTTGTTGCTTATATGTATTCTGAGAGCTTATGCACAAGAAACAAATTCCTTGTGTGTCCAATCACACTTGGCCAATAAAGAATATTCTATTCTATTCACACTTGGCCAATAAAGAATATTCTATTCTATTC